ATATATTCATCACAAGAAGAAGTATTTCTTTAGGATCACCAAAGAGAACTTGTTTTCATATCACTTCCTTCACATTATGATAGATTTTCTAGGAAGAATGAGCGGTAAAATGAATGAAATAAGAAAAGAATTCATTAAGATCCTCATATAGTTAAAGTTGTTTAGGAAATGGATTTTTGAACTTAAGGACATGATTGATCATGATTAAATGTTATGCGTGTTTTTGAATTCGTTTGTCATGTATTGTGTAATTTGATCTCAATTTTATCGGATATATATTGATGCTTATTTATGCAGAATGTTACTTCTTGAATTTTGTTATAGTTTTCCTTAATTCAACAACCATCACATTAAGGGAAAAATATTGGAAGATATTCCATGTATGTGATTGTTACTAAAATGAGAAGAAATGTCTATAAACATTTCTAACAAAAATATAATGAGTTATTTTGTGTTTAAAAAATAGAAAATAATGGTTAAGTCTGAAAATTAGTCAAATTCCAAGAATAGGCAACCATTCCTTGGATCGTTAAAGGTTGTTGTACCAAGGAAGAGCAATTGTTATACTAAGGACCAAGAATAGGCAACCATTCAAAAATGATAAGTGACCAAAAATACACAAGCAACATCGCAGGTATGACTACTAGTATCTATGAGCATGCCAAACATTCCTTGATGAGATATGAAAATGAGAATCATCGCTCCATATGTATTGAGGATGATAAGTCTTGACACAACAATCTCTACTCGATAAGCTAGCCTTGATATATATATATATATATATATATATATATATATATATATATATATATATATATATATATATATATTTATTTATTTACACAGATTTACGCATACAAAAGATCCATTCATATATTAGACAATTGTTTTGGTACATTCATTAATGGGAAATGGCCCGAATAAATCCAACGAGTGATTAATAGTCATGTTAGACATAAAAAAGTAACTATCATCCCCTTTTCTAACGAATCATATGGTTTTATGATTTCATTGCCCATTGCGCCTTATACAATCAAATGTCATCTTTGACGTGTCGAATGAGAATTTTTATGTTGTAATAATATATTGAGGCGATGATAAGGATAATACCAATCTTATAACTATACAATCACTAATTTATGATTTCGTAAAAGTTATTATCCTAAATTTTCAAGAGCTACATTTTGTTAATTACTTACATTTTTTCACATTTTGTAAATTTGATCAGTTTATGTCTATTAAATGTAGATGCTAGGAGTAACCATGGAGATGTGCATATAACAATGACACGTTCAATATTCTTAGAAACTCCTGGTTGGAAAAATGTTATAAAACCAAGAAAACAATGGTTGATAACTTGTAAAAATATGTGTCTATATGTATTTACGTGTCTATATTCAAACATTTATATGATGTTACTCCTTCATGTAGGATGTAATAGATGAAAACACAGGATGACTACTAGTATCTATGTTGCAAATCACTTGTACAAGCTTACAAGTTTTATATTTACAAACATATTTGTTAGGAACTGGACCGGGTACACGCAGCGGAAACACTATCACACACACAAACACACGAAGGAAATAAAGCAAGAAGGAACACAAGGATTTTACGTGGTTCGGATTCGGTGTAAATCCTACGTCCACGGGCTGCAACTAGATTTTCTTATTAACTTAATAAGATTACAATTTATAACTCTACAAGTTATATTTGATGCACACATACAAAGGGTTACATCGCACATATATATATATATATATAGGAGAGAGAGCCGTACTTTTCTTTTGTTTACACAAATTGCCGTCCAAAATTTTCTTCAATTCACATATTGTGAATATAATATTGCAATATTGCGGCCGTCCATTACCGAATGCATAGTCAAAGAAATATTAAATAATTGATTTGCCGACATGTACGTCCATTCAATATTAAACAATTGAATTGTTTAATAATTGTCAAGTTACATTTATGGCCCTTGAACTCTTAGGAACTTGTCAATTTGTTCAAGACTCCATAAATCTTAACAATCTCCCACTTGGAGGCTTGAACAAATTAGTCTTTCTCCGCCATCCAACTCTTAATTACTCCAGTAATCTTAAAAAAAAACAACCAAGTCCTTCAAGCTTCCAGTTTCAAAGAACAAGCTAAAACTTAGTCTGATTTCTCTAATTGCAGCTGCCCCTCATCTTCAAGTACTAGAAGGGCCAGTTGAAGCTCCCACTAGCTCCAACTCAGTCGTGGCTAATCCCACCACCGACTCATCCTCTGTCTCAACCGGTTTGGACACTCCACCAGATCCAGAGATACACCGAGGACCACTAACACTCTCCAAACTTTGCAAACTTCCAACAAGAGAGAATTTTCCAGTCTTAGTCTTCAAAACCCAAGGGCTCTTTGTAACTGTACCCGGAACACGCCCCGTGCTCCCACTGTCACAGAATCTCCTGAATGGTTTAGACTTTCGAACTCGTTCAGCTAACATCCACTTGGCTCCAGAATTCATGTTTGCAAAATGAAGTCTCTTAGCACTAGATTTAGCGAACCAGATTTTGTCATGCTTGACCGGGACGGTCATACTTCCCTCAGCAGATACCTCAACCATATACAATGACCCACACTTCATACCACGAGCAATAACCAGATCACCATTGACCACCCTCCATTTACCACTACCAAACCTTACTTCCAGTCCTTGTTTATCCAGCTGACCAACAGAAATCAATTTCTTCTTCAGCTCCGGAATTACCCTGACATCCTTCAGGCTCCATGTAGTTCCTAATGAAGTAACTAGATCAATATCTCCCATGCCCGTTACCTGAAGCATCTCGTCATTTGCCAACCGTACCTTCCCAAAATCTCCTTTTTTTAGATTCACCATCGTTTCCCCGTTGTCCATGGCGTGAAACGAAGCCCCTGAATCCATGACCCAAGAGTCTACAGAACTTTCCATACTGAGTATCAATGCATCATCCTCAGACACACTCTCAGCACCAGCAATGTTCAATTCTTTCTTTGGACATTGACTCTTAACATGTCCCACTTCTTGACAGTTCCAGCATTTCACATTCTTCAAAGTTCTAGAAGAACTTTTTCCCCGACTCCCACTGCTCCCACTATTCCTGCTATTCCCTCTACCTCTTCCGACATTTAATAAATCAGAAGAGGAAGATCCACCTTGATTCTTACGTCTGATATCCTCGCCTAGAACCAAATCTCTAACCCCTTCAAAAGTCATACCACTGGTCCCCACGGAACTTGTAACAGCAGTAACTGTTCCGGACCAGCTATCAGGTAGAGAAGCTAGTAGCAGCGAAGCTTGAGTCTCATTATCAAATTTAATTCCCACAAATGATAATCTGGATAGAATTGAATTTAGATTGTTAATGTGAACCGTAATTGAGCCTTCCTCATTCATCCTTGTAGTGAACATCTCCTTCATCAAGAACACCTTGTTAGCCGCCGATGGTTTCTCATACATATTTGACAGAGCCTCCATCATACCACGCGCCGTGGTTTCATTCATGATGTTGAAAGCAACGCTCTTCGTCAACGACAATGTAATAACCGCCTTGGCTTTCTTGTCCTTTGAGTTCCACGCATCTTCAGCAGCTTTTTCCATTTTCTCCGGTTTGTCTCCGAGTACCATGTCCAAGTCTTTCTGACATAGCAATGCTTCTAATTGCATTTTCCACCAGCTAAAATCAGAACCATTGAACCTTTCGATTATAATCTTGTCTTCAGCCATTACGACAAAAAAAAAAAAAATAGGTACACTCGTGTGTGACAGAAAAAAACGATCGTACCCTCCAAAACCTCGCTAACCAGGCTCTGATACCAGTTGTTAGGAACTGGACCGGGTACACGCAGCGGAAACACTATCACACACATAAACACACGAAGGAAATAAAGAAAGAAGGAACACAAGGATTTTACGTGGTTCGGATTCGGTGTAAATCCTACGTCCACGGGCTGCAACTAGATTTTCTTATTAACTTAATAAGATTACAATTTATAACTCTACAAGTTATATTTGATGCACACATACAAAGGGTTACATCGCATATATATATATATATATATATATATATATATATATATATATATATATATATATATATATATATATATATATATAGGAGAGAGAGCCGTACTTTTCTTTTGTTTACACAAATTGCCGTCCAAAATTTTCTTCAATTCACATATTGTGAATATAATATTGCAATATTGCGGCCGTCCATTACCGAATGCATAGTCAAAGAAATATTAAATAATTGATTTGCCGACATGTACGGCCATTCAATATTAAACAATTGAATTGTTTAATAATTGTCAAGTTACATTTATGGCCCTTGAACTCTTAGGAATTTGTCAATTTGTTCAAGACTCCATAAATCTTAACAATATTAAGATAATGGAGATAAGTGTTTTCTTATTATTCAACACTATAAAACTTATTTAACATTTAAGATGGTTTGTAAGGATTTCACTTCATGCTTACTCTAGCATCTTAGATTCCAACTTGTATCGTTCATGATAAAAATTTTAAGATGATAATAATTTGTAGATATAATCATGTGCGTAATGTGAATATCCGAGTAACCAACAAACAAAAAGAATCCTAAAATAGGAGACATTAATTTGGCATTCGGAAAACCAAAAGGAAATTACAATGGAATATATTAGACTCTTATCTATACTTCAAGGTTTCTGAAATGCAATTTGAAGATGTTCATACACTGAATCATTGAAAAAAAATATTATAGTATAAAGATAACAATTTATTTTGTTATTTGTTTCCTAAATACTCCAACAAACAAAAAAAAGTATTGCTAAATTACCAATTCGAAATTCTAACAACCTATAACAAAATTGATTCAAATATAAATAGTCAAGAAAGTTATACATACCATATCATACATATCGAATGAAGAAATATCAAAGCTAAAAATTCAACAGAGTTTTACATACCATAACTCGATAATTCATTTATTAAGCAACCATTATAAGTTGTTGCATGGCTAGTCTGTAAATTTTACAAGCAAACCTTTGTTAAAGCTTCTAGTTTATTGTCTTTTATTAGTACTGATATATCTCATTTTGAATTGTTAGTGAATACGGTATGTTAGCCATTGTCTGGTCAGTGTTTACAGCACCATATTGCATCTCCATCTGTAGTATGTTAATAACACATTTTAACAAGGATTGATGTCAAGAATAAGTAATGAGCTATTTGTTTTTCTTAAACATAATTATTCTAAAAATGCCATAAATAGGTAACAAACTATTTGATTTGTTTACAAAATACAATTCAAATCTTGGTATTTGTGAAAACATAATTTGAGTTGCCTAATTTTTTTTATAACATTTTAAATGTATGTCATTTTGTGATACAATATAGTTTATTACCTATTTATGAAATTAAAACTTTCAAAAATAAAATGCAACAAATTAAATAAAAAAAGTTTCAATATATTTATATAAAGTTGTATCTCTTCTAGTAGTCATTACTATAAAACTATAAACCCATTTTAACAATTTAATACCTGCTCTTGGAGGCACTTATTTGCTGCTTTTAGTATTCCTTCCTGTAGTACAGTAAATGAATTGAGATTCAGATATATGTCCATGAAGACCGTCAATAATCATTATGTTGTCATGGTCCCTAAGTTTTGCATAAAAAGTAGCATGTTATACTTAAAGTTGATAAGCATTATGAGTGTTTTTCTCCAGATACCAAAAAAGATCAGATTTAGTTCACGTATTAGGACCCCAAAGAAACATTCTTCAAATCATCTAGAAAAGTATAATTATAAAATTTTAATATGTAGAGATATATGTGTTCCATTTATAAGACCAAATTTTGAATTCTTAAACTATAAATAATAAAATTCATCATATATTTCCCATTTCTTCATATTTTAGCATGGAGGTTAGAGTTTAATTCGTATTCTTCTCTCTTAAAACATATTTTTTTAATTTAATTTGTGTGTTAGTAGAAACTAAAGTTCCTCTTGATTGAAGTATATTATCATACCAACGAAGAATGCTATAACATATTCATAGAAAATAAATTAAATGTAAGCATTGATTTTGTAGACACATTTGTAGAAGATATGAAGAGAATCACAAGAAATGTATTACTCTTATGTCCAATAGTTAATTTACTTTTCCTACTCCTATACACACTACCATAAAATGTTGCTTTGTCTAACCCATAATAGAAACATACCATGCATGATGAATATAATGTTTCTTTTTTGAAAATAAGACATGAGAGATGATGCTAAGTGCCCATGATGTGAATATTATTTGTTCTCTATGATTTTTTTTCTCATAAATGTCACTATATGGGTTTATTTGAGAGACACAATAGAAGGTCATAATAGATCGGTTTAGATTTTGATGAGACATTTCGCTTAGTTTTACAGTCTTTATTAATTAAATCACACATAGTTTATCAGCAAGATTGTATTTTTGCATGGAAAACTTTATATATATATATATATATATATATATATATATATCTATATATATATATATATATATATATATATATGTGTGTGTGTGTGTGTGTGTATGTGTTGTTGGTAATCTTAGTGTCACCATGTCATTTTATATAACTGGAACTAACATGTGAACTAAGGGGCTTCATATGTACGGGTATGTGTGGAGTGCACACATGTATAAGATCGAATTAGAAGCCGGTTCGATGACAAGTTGGGGGTCCGGGGGTAGCGCCCCTGTATTTGGGGTTTCCAAAGGGGCAGCGCCCCTTTGGCGGGGTCTAGGGGCAACGTCCCTGCTAGGGTCCAAGGGCCAGAGCCCCTGGATAGGCTCCCGCTTCAAGAGGCCATATAGTCTGGAATACTCTTATTTCTATAGTATTAAAGATGATCCTAATACATATCAAGAGGCCATGGAGTCTCGCGATAGTGCCTTTTGGAAGGAAGTAACTGATGATGAAATGTCATCAATCCTTGAGAACAACACATGGGTGTTGTCTGATTTGCCTCCAAGTTCTAAACGACTTGGTTGCAATTGGATTTTCAAAAATAAGATGAATGTTAATGGGACTATTGACAAATTCAAATCCCGGTTAGTCATTCAAGGTTTTAGACAAAAACCCGGCATTGACTATTTTGATACGTATTCTCCAATTGCACGTATTTCTACTATTAGATTGTTGATTGCCTTGGAAAGTATCCACAATGTGGTTATTCACCAAATGGATGTGAAAACAGCCTTTTTAAATGGTGATCTTGACGAGGAAGTTTACATGAAACAACCAGAAGGTTTCATTATGCCCGGTAAAGAGCATATGGTTTGTAAACTTGTCAAATCTTTGTATGCGCTGAAACAAGTTCCTAAACAAAGGCATCAAAAGGTTGATGAGGTTATTTTTTCTTCTGGTTTCAAGACAAGCCAATGTGACAAATGTGTTTAAAGTAGATTTGATGATGTTACTAGAGCTGGAGTGATCATTAGCTTATATGTAGATGACATGTTGATTTTTGGTACCGACCAAAATCAAGTAGATGCAACAAAGAAATTGTTATCATTTAAGTTTTCCATGAAAGATTTAGGAGAGGCTGATGTAATTCTTGGAATAAGAATTAAAAAGGATGAACAAAGGTTTGGTAACGACTCAAAGTCATTATACTGAGAAAATTCTAAAGCGGTTTAATTTTTGCCAATTGTTCTCATGTGAGTACTCCTATGGATCAAAGTGTGAAATTAATGACAAATAATGGCGTTCCCATTTCACAATTGGAATACTCTAAGGCTATTGGTAGTTTGATGTATGTCATGACAAGTACCAAACCTGATATTGCTTTTGTTGTGGGTAAGTTGAGCAGGTACACTAGTAATCCTAGTGCTCAACACTGGCAAGAAGTGAATAGAGTGTTTAAGTATCTCAAAGGAACCATGGATTATGGTATTGAGTTACTTGGGGAGTCCTTCAGTTTTAGAAGGGCATTCGGATGCAAGTTTGATAACCAACATGGAGGACAATTCCTCAACTTCTGGTTGGGTATTCTTGCGTGGGGGAGGTGCTATTTCTTGGGCTTCCAAGAAGCAATCTTGCATTACAAACTCAACAATGGAATCTGAGTTTGGTGCGTTAGCAACTGCTGGTAAAGAAGCAGAGTGGCTAAGGAATTTAGTCTATGAGATTCCTTTGTGGTCTAAACTGATAGCACCTATTTCTATCCTTTATGATAGTTCAGCCGCTTTGGCTAAGGCATACAACCAGGTTTATAATGGCAAGTCTAAACACTTAGGTGTTAGATATAGTATGATTAGAGAACTAATCATGAATGGTGTGATTTCTATTGAGTTTGTGAAATCGCAACAAAGTATGGCAGATCACTTGACTAATGGTCTGACAAGAGACTTAGTGCACAAGTCTGTAATAGTGATGGGATGAAAGTCCATTTAATTCTGTAATGATGAGACACCCAATTCCCTCCTAATATAATGTTAGGAGTTGAATTCAATGTGGAAAGCTCATACTTATAGGCTGGAACACATGAAATATTCATCCCAGGTTTGTGTTCGGTACTACAAGTTAGCCAGGTTGAAGTTAAACTGCTTAATAATGCCTTTGATAAATGTATGTGCAGATACATGTAAAGGAGTTACCTACATGATTGTGAAGTGTAGCCGCATTTCAAGAGGTTGTGGACTTGACCTTGATATGATCATGAGAGGATTGGGACACGCGGCTTTATAACAGTGTCAAGTTGTATTTTGCTAGAATCTCAATAAATTGGTATGTATTTTACTTTCTAGTATTCAAATGGGTTGATGGGTTCAATTCTTCAAACACCCTGATTCTTAAGTATTTGCAAGTGTATGATACTAAGTGGAAATTCAATCATTTTGATATTTTCCTTATGTACTAGTTTGGTTTTTTTTATAAGGTTATGTTTGTTCAAAGGTTACACTAAAATGAGGGATGATTGTTGGTGATTTTAGTGTCACCATGTCACTTTATATAATTGGAACTAATATGTGAGCTAAGGGGCTTCATAATTTGTACTCTAATATATGTACGGGTATGTGCAGATTGCACGCATGTATAAGATCCAATTAGAAGCCGGATCAAGGACAAGTCGGAGGTCCAGGGGAAGTGCCCCTGAATTCGGGGGTTTCCAAAGTGGCAGCGCCCCTTTGGCGGGGTCTAGGGGCAACGCCGCTAGCGGGGTCCAAGGCGCAGAGCCGCTGGCTGGGGTCTCGCTTCAAGAGGCCATGTAGTCTTGAATACTCTTATTTCTATAGTATTGAAGATGATCCTAAGACATATCAAGAGGCCATGGAGTCTCGCGATAACACATGGGTGTTGTCTGATTTGCCTCCAGGTTCTAAACCACTTGGTTGCATATGGATTTTCAAAAAAAAATATGAATGTTAATGGGACAATTGACAAATTCAAAGCTTGGTTAGTCATTCAAGGTTTTAGAGAAAAACCCAATGTTGACTATTTTGATACTTATGCTCCAGTTGCACGTATGGGAACATAGAGGGAAATTCAAATTCTTGAGGGTGATTATGGTAAAACTAACGAAATTCGTTAGTTTTCGAAACCCTAAATCCTCATTAAAATCCGGATTTCCCTGACTTGCTTCCAAAGCAACCCATGACAATCAACCCTAAGAGGCAAACCCTAATCTCATTTATTATATATAAACGACTCCTCTCTTTAAGAAGATACACACAAAAAATGATTAGCTCTCTTTTTCTTCAAACGAACATAGAATCCTTCTATCAATTTGGCTTACAGTTTATGTGTCTAGATTCGTAAGTGTCCTCTTGGATTATCGTAGGCTGGATTTCTTGCAACCCAGACATATGATAGAAATATCAGTTCAGAAAGTTCACACGATCCAAGGGGTATTCAGATCTCCAACATAAACCCTAATTCCTCCAACATATGTGTGTATGTATGTAAGAAGCTACTTGTGCATGGTATCATACTTTTGATCAAACACATGTCCAATCATTCCTTAGTTTAATGAATAAACCATGATCTTTACTAAAAGAAAACAACATAAATGAGCATTGCTGTACTATCATAGCAACGAATATTGTTATATCATTTCTTATGTAGAATAAATGATTTGTGTGCAGATGATAGGAAGAAAATCATAATAAATGTATTACTTTTAAACCCACTCGTCCATTTAGTTTTCCTACTTTATAGGATAAAAGGTTGCGTTGTAGCTAACCCATAATGGAAACATGTCATTCATGATGAATATAATGCTCTTTTTTGAAAATAGGATATGAGAGACGATATATATATATGCTCCTTGGTCATGATGTTATTATTATTTGCTCTACGTGATTTTTAATTCATAAATGTCAATATAGGGGTTTATTTGAGAGATTAATGGGAGGTCATAATAGATTGGTTTATATTTTGATTAGACATTTGGCCTAATTTGACAATCGGAGGCCAAGTAATAAAGACCTTCTATGGAGTTTTTTTAGCACCACCTTTTATATATATATATATATATATATATCTATATTATATATATATAATATATATATATATATATATATATATATGCAAAAAATCCACTGAGAAATAGTGTGCGCTTGTTTGTGAATGGAATATGATTACGAAAACAAATATAAGACATACACACGTTCGTAAAAGTTCGTACCTTATTTTTCAACAATTGGATTTCTTGAGCCATGATGTCCATCTGTTTAGAAAAATGTTTAAACGAAATTAAATTTTAGAAATAGTCAGGTAAATTAGTTACCTGAGGTAGGCACACCTGATTGAATTACATGTTCATACATACTCCATTTAGTATTTCCGGACTACTTTACATGCTTTCTCGATTGTTTTATATATATATATATATATATATATATATATATATATATATATATATATATATATATGTTCATACATACTCCATTTAGTATTTCCTGACTACTTTACATGCTTTCTCGATTGTTTTATATATATATATATATATATATATATATATATATATATATATATATATATATATATATATATCAAGATTGTACTTGAGTGATTTATTATTTTTATTATTATTATTATTATTTTTTTTTGTAAAAAGATTTAGATTCTTGAATCTTAGATATTGTAAGATTCAAAACATGCACAAATAGAATGTATGGCTCGATCGAAGTGATTGTAAAGTTGTGAAGTTTTCTTAGATAAAAGTGAGCAAAATATTTCCTATTACATTTAGACAAAATTTCGAAAATGATTATATTTGTAGGATTATGTCACTCCAATTCCAAGTTCTTTTTCTAACTATAAAGCCTTGTTGTTCTATTTTGTTATGGATATCGTCCCATTCGTGTGGCTTACCAATGTAAAATGTCTAAAAATTAGTCTTTTTATTTATTTATTTTAATAATTTGGTATTTAAGGTAATCTCTATGTTCTTTAATGATGTTAGATTTCGGTCTCTTATGTGGATTAGTCTTATGTGGATTAGCTCTAAATGTAAAAAAGATAAATATTAAATTGTTACATTTGTTGAGGTCCCCTAGTAAAGCCCTCCAAAAAATGTAATTCTTGTTTTCTCTAGTTAGGAGCTCTTCTTTAATACCACGTAGTTTTCAAAATAAAATAATTCAACAAATAAACACATCAAACCTTACCTTTGCTGAGCGTATGTGATACATCCAGACTTCAAGGTTGTTCTCAAGTATTCGAAGTTCATCCAAACTCATTTTTCCAGCACCACCTTCAAACATATACCTACCGAAACAAGAAATTAAAAATTAAAATAATAATAATAATAGTTAACTTTTTATATATTATATAATTAAGTCTATCACATAATATACTACACCCTTAATTGTATTAAAACAATGAAAGTAGATGACATTAACGATGGTGAAGCATGAATGTTAAATATGGCATCATGATGATACCTGAGGCCTTTCTGAAGTACGTCAATCTCATTTTTTAGCATTTTGACCTCCATTTTCGACTCCTGAATTCAAAAATTGATAACATCAATTAAAAAAATGTAACAGAATGTGATATATATTGGTAATTAGTTTAGCGATGAACTATATAATATACTGTCATATCATTTAGCAAAGCTGTCAGATACCATAATATTGTAACAAAAATAAAATAAAACATGATTGATAGTTTTTGTCATATGTTGTCATAATTAACATGAAATAAAAAATATGTAAAATATGTATAAATATTTGATATACGATTTCTGTCATTGTAGATTGAGGTTGCATAGTTTTTCTCTTTCTTTTTGGCTCATTAATTAATTTTACGTCTCCTTTATTTTTTTCGTCCACTTTGTTTTAATGGAATTTCTTGGCACACCAATTCTTTCTATATAAGCTTAATTATATACGTTCATTTAAATTTTGTCAATAATAATTTTAACAATTTTGGGAAATTATGCATGTGATTGAAATGATACGAATAGAAAAGAATTAAACAAACTCCGTGGAGTTAACTTTACCTACTTTCTTTATGTCTATAAAAAGGTATACTCAAGATAAAGTACAAAGTAAACGATATTTATTTTGTGCCTAAACGACCTATTTTGTGAAAAATAAACTCTTTTACTTCTTAACCTTAATCCAATCAAGTAAAACTTTTAAGCCAATCGAAATATACAACGTGTAATTAGCTATATATATATATATATATATATATATATATATATATATATATATATATATATATATATATATATATATATATATATATATATATATATATATATATATAGAGAGAGAGAGAGAGAGAGAGAGAGAGAGAGAGAAAGAGAGAGACCTGAACATGATTTTCATCAGCTTGTTTCTCCACAGAGCAACGGGTAGATTTCATATACTTTTCTAAAAGTCCCTGCATGCTTCTTTAATCACAAATACACAAAATATGATAAGCACAAGGGTGTACACTTGAATTGACTATACGACATATGAACACAGACTATTTAAAGGGAGTCGAAATCGGCAATATTGGTCCTTTTCTTTAAACGAGAATTTATAGAATAATTGAATTGGAAATTAACATATGGTGAACGTAGAAGTCATATATGGTTGATAAACTAAAAAACAAAATAAGTGAGCAACCGAAGAAATTAATCTTAGTTAACTAAAACAAATTTTTGTATACTAATAAGTAAAAACCTAAAGAAAGTATATCTTGAGTTATAAAATATATCTTAGTTGAGTATAATTAATTTTTGTATACTAATAAGTAATTTTTATAACAAATGAAAGAACCATAAAAACAATTTATTTTAATTTAATATTCTAGATGGTTTTATTGGTTTACAGATATAGACATAAAAATAAAATTGTTTAGAATCGCAAAATATATAGTTGTAATATGATTTTCTTATATCATCTACTATTCCGGAATCAAGTCATTAGTTATACCTTTACACATATATTCATATTGTAAGGCGTTTATAGGTCGAGGGACCTTAAAAAAAATAAAACGAGTTATGTACACGTGTAGAACCCACATCAGTAAGTAATTATATATAAGTTATAAAAGCCCAAAGTGTGTAAACTATAGCAATAATTAATCTATAGTGAAAGTGTTATGTCCATAATTTACGTCCATTATCTTAACTTTTTATAAATCGTTTAGTTAGTGCTTCATTTCTTTATTTTCCACTGACATGATCTTGTTAGAATATTTCTTTTATAGAAATGATGGAAGTCATTTATTATGCCATCATAATTAACTTCTTCTTTTAACGTTCTTACTGATGTAGCTAGCAGTGTTACTTAACATCACACAACTTTACATCTATCGATGACCGGTATGCATTTATATGTTCTACAGCTTTTTGTAGTTACGAAAATGAAAGAAATTAGTATATATATATATATATAGTGTGTGCATACCCGTTGGTGGCAAGCTCATAGAGCTTGCCATGGGCCGAGAAAATGATGAGACCGATTTCAGCATCACATAAAACAGAAAGCTCTTTTGCCTTCTTGAGAAGCCCAGAACGGCGCTTGCAGAAGGTCACCTGCCTATGAACTGGGTTCTCGATCCTCCTCATCTGCACCTTACCTCTTGCCATATCAATTGTTGTTGGAATTAATCCTGATTTTTATATAAAAAAAATAAAATTGAATAAATTTTTTGAAGTCTGCAAAGTTTATGCAGACAACCTCCCACTAGTTTGAACTAGCTTCGAGGTTGTTGCAATTCTTCTCTTGTCGTCTCTAGCTTAGCTTAACACACATTAATTCATTGTGTCTTAAGAAACTCCCTTATATACCACACTGACTCAAAAAATTGGATTCTCTTGCCGTGGTGAAATAAACAAAAATAAAACAAACAAAAGGAATATTCCTTTTCTGCGACTACTTTTACAGTTCACTATTTTTTTTCAAAAAGGAACCATTGAAGGTAAAGGGTTTCTTTTCATAATTTTTAAATACAATCAGTATTTTTTATTCTCAAAAAAGAATCAAAATTTCAAATAAAGTTTTTATTTTTAGAATAAGATTAAATATTCAAGCTATCCTCTGGATAAACATCATAATATTAACCATTTGTTTCAAAATTATAAATCATAATGTCTAGTCGAGTCTCTGAACCGTTCGGCGGAAAATTCGTTTATTTAATAAACGAGCGAACATGAACACATTCTCGTTCGTGTTGTTAAAATGAACAAACGAGCGAACATGAACACATTCTCGTTCGTGTTGTTAAAATGAACAGACATAAACAATGGTATTGTTCGTTCAATTATGTATGTGAGTGTTCGTTCATTCTAAGTTCGGTTTATGTTCATATATGTTCAATTAAGTTTGATTACATTACTTTCTTATATGTTTGTGTATGTTCATTTATGTTCAATTTTTTTTGTTTATCTCCGTTCGTTTATGTTCGTTTAGCATGTTCATGAACATCAATGAACGAACATGAACAATGTAATTTGTTAAATGAACGAACACTAACAAGAAAACTTGATCGTTTATTAATTCGTGTCCATTCGTTTGTTCGACTAACTTAAACGAACGAACATAAACAATCATCGTGCGTGTTCATTCGTTCCGTTTACAACCCTAATAATGTTAAATATAAAATTCACTGGAAGTCTAAAAACAATATCATAACATCGATGTGAGTCTAGAGTCACGTCGTCCTTTCCCTTTCACACTTAAACAACATGAAAACATTTAACTTCAAAACGTAATAATAACGTTGAGTGAGTTTCCCAATATACCACATATTCCACTATACATAAAATGAATACAACAGTAAACTTAAGATCTTATCGTGCATACCAACTTTAGGCTCTCAGCCAACATACAATTGCAGACTCTCAACCGTCCAACAAAATATAGACTTTCAGTCATCATAAAAACCATCGGCTCTCAACCATCATGCAAATGAAGGCATAAGATCACATCATACGGACTTCTAAACATTCTAATAAAATACTACTCTTTTATATCGTATACTAATAGAACACAAACACCCTACCATGTATTTTACATATAATATCAGACATAGTATAATGAAAAAACTTACCTAAGTCTAGTGTGACAACCCGAATCTTTTCCGTTAATGTTAACCCGAATTTCGTTAATAAAATTTGAATTTTAATGAGTTCCATCAAATTTCTTTGGTTTGGAAAATCATTTAGTTATATAATTGAATTCTATATAAGAGTCGGAACCAAAAACATGCGAAAAACCCGAGTTTCCTTTGAAGAATCAATAGTTTTCGGTCTGAGAGGTGTTCACGGCCGTAAACCTGTTTACGGCTAGTGCCAGGTGGCCCCCACCACCGACCATACCCCCCAGCCTATATATATGGACCCCCACCTTCATTTAAACTTTCTTAGCCGAAAACTCCCTCATTTTCTCTCTCTCTACCTCTCGACCGTAAACACCAAAACACCCTCATTTCTTCCGAAAATCATCAAGAATCACCTCTGGGGGTTGTTTTGGAGCATCTAAAGCGCGTTTTTCATCGAATCCAACATCATTGTTCTTGATTTTACGGCCGTACAACCTTCAAACCTTCATAGATTCTTCAAGAGCACTGTTTACGTCCGTAAACCCTTCAAGGGGCTGTTCACGGCCGAGAATAGTTCACGGCCGGAAACCCTTCACGGCCGCAAACTCCTTCACACCGTGAATCTTGGCTGCAAACCCACTTTTCCGATTCAATCGAGTCTCGGTAACATTCCTAAGCTGAAAGCAAGTGTTTTTCCAACACTATAAATAATGGTTTCGCTAATAAATACATATATGTATTAATTGTATTAGGATCCCATTGAGTGCCGCGTACATCAACTTGAGGGTCTTCACTCCTAGTTTTCGCTGTCCGACTATTCACACGACTAATAGTGAGTTCATACCCCTATGCTTTTATGATTTTAAATGTTTTCAGGGGGAGAGTACAAGCCAAACACAAATGATTTTGAGCATTTATACAAAAGGATTTCAACACATTTAAAACTGATGCAATTAATACAATCTTACAGTTTCCACATGTTTATAAAATATTTAGATATTTTATCCCTTTTGGAACGTGCTGAGCATAAGCGACTATGTCAATCTACAGTCGAAATTGCCTAGTTTTCAGATCAATACGTAAACAAAGTACACATCATACATGCAAACTATAATAGGTATATTTTGGGTTTTCAATACACAGTTTTACGAATTCAGAGATTTGCATAGCAAAACATATAAACTATGACTGATTCAGTTTATGAAATACATTACTACAAGAGTACAACATTTAATAATTATTTAAGTATAATTATTACCTTATACAGTATACACATGGGTTTAAATACAGTAGATCAATACAGAACTACACGTAAACTAGTTAATACAGGATTGTGAGACAACACTTCAATTGTACCTTTCAGGGTACATGTTAAATCCTATCATAGTATAACCAGAGTCTCCTGGAGGGAGAGCGTGAGATTTGTGAATAGATCTATTCAGGACTGACAATCCCACACCTGAACTGCTAGCTACAGTTAGGCAGGCATGTCTGGGGTGACAAATGTCATTTATCCGACACTTGAAGAACTTCGTAAAGGTCACTAGGTCATATCAAGCATGGTTATACGACTCACAATAGTATAAACTAACCTTATTGTTTACGAGATTTCATTCTTCTTTAGTTTTATTTTACTAATAAAATTAGTTCATAATACAACTGGAGGATTCCAGGGATTTCAACTCATAGTTTTATTTTAAGTAATGAAACTACTATACATACTGGTGGTAACCAGGGTTTTCAAACAGAACATCTTATACATTACTGGTGATAGTCAGGGTTTTCATACAAAGGGTTTTCATTCAAAACAATGTTATACAATACAGTTGGTGGTAACCAGACGTACAAACTAATACATTATACACTACTACAGAACACAGTAATAAACATATATGTTAGAAAATATTGGATTTTCTTGGGAAGCATACAAACATTTTACAGATTCAATGACAAGATTTTCATTACAAAAACATGCTTATGAACTCACCAGCTTAATGCTGATACTCTTTCAAAACTGCTTGCATTCTCAGGAAATCAGTAGACAGGTACCTCCCGCAGTTTTGAGAAGACGGAGTGTATAGAGTCATGTCTTTTACTTTTGGTTATGCTTTTGATGTATAAAAACATGAATCAAATAGATGTAAATACCTTTTTAATATATATTCAATGTAATGGTTGTGTTTACTTGATTATTATGATGCAATTGTTGTGATACTACATATGACGTCATCCATCCCCGAATGTTTCCGCCGTTCCGGTTTGGGGGTGTGACAAATTGGTATAAGAGCTATTGTTTATAGTGAACTAAGTATAATGAACCTTACATGGTATACAACTATAAACACTAAAGGGGCCGAAGTACTCTGAAACTAAAAGTATACTTTAAAAATACAAGTATTTTCACAAGAAGTATACAAGTATACATACGTACAAGAAGCTATAACATAGTAGGAACTACATAAAAGTATTTAGGGCAAGTTTGACACTACGGTTAAACATGGGCAGTTATTGTTGGATTAGTGTCTAAGCCCATAACTATTTTGGCATGTACTTGAACCGATTGCGAGCATGGTCCTTTTGGGTTACCTTCACCAAAGCAACTTGATAGGATGATTTATGGAGAACGAGATTAATTATGATTTATTAATATATTATATGAATAATATATTAAGATAGAAATCATATTATTTAATTAATAATAGTCAAGAATTAATCAGAATTAATTTTGTGGCTAAAAGACCTTAATTAAATAAAGGGGACTAGAATTGTCAATTGTGTGATAGTTGGATATTGGGCTAATGGACTCCATAGAGGATAGAGTGGACGAAATCTATGGGGAAACCCATTAGAATTCGTCCAAGGCCTCTAAAGGAGGAGTCCATGGGCTGCTTAGGGCCTAAGCAGTCAGATTAGGGTTTACTAGTTCAAAACCCTAATAGCCTCACATATTTAAGGACCCCTAGGGCACCAAAAACGTGGCTAACTGATTCCTTAGGGTTTCTAGACGTTTTTTGTGTCCTCTCTCTCCTCCTTCTTCATCCTTATTGCTTATGGTGTTTGTGACTCCATTAGAGGTGTGACACTTGTGACACTAAGCTTTCAAAATCCAATTACAAGAAGGAATTAAGATTGTTATTGCTACATAACAATCAAGGTAAGATCTAAACCCTAATTCATATGTTATTTGATTATCACATGCTAGATCAAGGGTTTATAGCTTTGGATGATTATTGCATGTTCATTAGACAAACTAGATCCAAAGCTTTAGGGTTTGCATGTACACCATAGGAATGTTGTAGTGCTCATAACCCATCAGTGGTATCAGAGCCTTAGGTTGTTTGTTTGATGTATTTGATGCTTAATTGTTCATTGCTTGCTTGAAAATCGATTTTTTTTGGTTTCTGACTGGCAGACTCGCCGAGTCCATGAATGGACTCGACGAGTAGGTCCTACTCGACAAGTTCCATTGTGGACTCGACGAGTCCAGGGCTCTGGTGCCGGGATTTTCGAATTTTCTGCCAGATTTTGTTGAGGATAATTGCCAAAACTCATTTTTTCTTGCCAAAATCTGAATTTTTAAGTTTGGAATGGTTATCCTCATCAAAATTGATGGATTTGGTTAAATATGGATAATATATGATTATTATTAGTCAAATATTTAACCTAGTAAATTTAAAAAAAATTCAATTTACACCCCATAGGTTTTAT